ACACATAATATATATATATATATATATATATATATATATATATATATATTTATAATTCAAATTAATTATGTACACATTTCTTACAATATTAAATATTCATATTTAAATTTATAGTTTTTAATTTAAAAATATATGCTATACAGTTATATCAATAGTTTAAGATTTTAAAATAGTTATTTTTTTGGTTTATGACATGCACTCGTTTTATTTCAAAATCATTATCACTTTTAAAAAAATTATTTATTTAATTTTATTTTTCATTAAAAAATGTAGACGATATTAATTATTTTTAAATTTTATCTTTATCTTTTAGTATTTTTAATCTATACTTATATATAAAGGTGATTCTCTATTCTAATGTACACTATTTTTAGACAATTTTAACCCTAAAGTTAAAATAAAAAATTACACAATAATAATTAGTAAAAGTCATAAAAATCTTGTAATCTTAAAAAAAATTGTCACCAAATAATAATAACGCGTACAGTATCTCACTAACATGCATATTAAGGGGAGACACCAAGTGCCTTTGTTTCTACTATAGTAAATATAATGAATGAATAAATTAAGTTATTCAACTACATTCATATTTATAAAAAATCAGAGGTGTTTAATATCTTTTAAATTCCCACTCTATACAAATTATTAGAGTAATTATATTTTATATATATATTGAATAAAAGCTTTTTAAGAATTATTTTTCAATGATGGTTTTTTTTAAAAAAAATTCTAATGAGAGAAATTTCAAGAATTTTTCTTAACTTATTAATTATTTCAACTTGTCATTTTTATTTTTAAATTATATTTCAATATTATTTTATAATTATTATCAATAGTTAAATATAATTTTGTATTGTAATATAAATTATTTATTATAACATTTTCTTTTTAACACATTTTCTATTATCAGTTGAAATTTGTTAAAAATTATAAATTTTGGGGAGTTTTATTATTTTAATTAAAATTTATAATATTTAATAAGTTTCAATTAATATATAGTGAATATTATATAGTGTTTGTGCATTTCTCCTCAAAGTAATAGCACCATAAAATAAAAGGAATCAAGCAACAAATTATACCTAGTTTTGTGATGCACATGTAGCACAAGTATCATTTAATTAACCTTTCACTTTTCATCAGCATAGTCTATGCCGCAGAATTCTTTGATTCGACACTTTGATTCCGAGGCCTTCTTTGTTGCATAGAAACGTAAGTATTCATAATGATCAAATGGCTTATAACGTCTTGGATGTTCTTCATCAACTAGCTCTTCTTGTGTTTCAACTATCTTGCCTCCAAGCGAAAATAGTCCCATCGAGTATCTTTCCTTCTTTGCACTTATAATCACTCGATGTTCACAAGACTGTATCCTATCGTTGCTCCAAACCTAAGAAATTAAAAACAATAATAATAACAATATCATTAATAACAATAATAATACAATGATAAAAGATAATAATAAGGATAATAAAAATGAGACAATTATAACAATATTGATAATAATTATAATAGAATTTTAATCTCAACACTATTATTTTTAATCTTATACGAAAAATTATCATTAGTTATTTTCATGTTTTCTTTATATAAGAGTTTTAAAGGGAGTCACTCTTCCAAACAATTACACAAATTCTTATATCATATATAATACAAGTAACAAACTCTTCCGAACATTTATGTGTAAATGAAGATATATATCAATAATACAAAACATTTTCATTCATGAAGGGTTTTGTTATTAGATGCACATGTGAAAATGACCCACCTTAAACGCATCACCTGCGAGGATGAGAAACATGAAGGGTGAGGGATCAGTATGAATCCACTCTCCATTTTTCAATTTAACTTGCAAACCATTGACATTATTCTGATGCAAAATGGTAAAGAAGGAGGTGTCGGTGTGAGCATGCAGTCCCAAATTATTTTCATCCTCCTGCGGCAGTCTGTATTTGAAGCTCCTAAGCATGTACTTTGTTGATTCCAGAAGAGAATCACAGTGCCTTTGGTCCACACCATAGCCTTCAAACACCATCCTTTTAGTCATATGGTCCAATTCTACCAGCACCTTTGCATAGAGAGTCAGAGTCTCACTATTCACAACATGAAAAATTAGAAACAACACTCAATAAGGCAACATGGCATGACAAAAGTCTTATTATCCCTACATGATTAATCATATGATAAAGAAATATAATTAACGTAAATAAAAAACTAAACAACATAACTAAATTTTGTAGCAGTACCAGAAATGATCATATCCTGTTGGCCACATTAGCTTTGTGAACTCTTGAACTCCTTCCACTGTCGATGGATCATTGATCCCTAGGGATTCATATAGAGGGACATGAACATTTTGTCCATAATAGCCATGGTAGGGCTTGTCACTGATCTTTTGCATTTTTGTTTCCGATGGAAGATCAAAGAGTTGTTCCATTAGAGTAAAAACTGAGTTGTGAAGCTCCATAGGAACTTTATCACACAATGCATAAAAACAACCATGATCCTCAAGTGCACTACGGATCACTTGGCATGCAGAAGCCCATTTTGCTGAACCAGGTTTAAACTCTTCATCAAGAGTGAAGTCAACGATAGGAACCTGGGAAACTGTTTGGGAACCCATAATATTTCTAATCTTTCCCCAACCCACTTCAATTATACTAGATTTCCATTGTTACTCATATTTATAAAAGTGCCTCTATGCAGTGAGTGGAGTTCATTCTCGAGTTGCTCTCTTCCCATTACTTTATAAATCCATCTTATTTTTATCAAGAAAAGGGTGGCATTACTACGTTTTTAAAGTATTAGAATTTTCCTTTGATATCTCGCGCGACCACATTTAATTCAGACGTTTATTACACAAGTTATAAGGTGCGTGAAACTAGAATCGACATGGTAATCGATTCACATGATTTTAAATTCCAATCTCGTTACTGTTATAACTATTGTAATTCTCGTGAATAAAAAAAATTAAGTGAAAAGCTAATTTTGATTAAATAACAGGGTTTTATTAACTAGCGGTATACATCCTAAAGTCACATTAGGTATGTACTACATGTTTTGTTTTGATTATAAGAAAAGAAGAAGAAAAAAATAATGATAAAAATAAAAGAGAAATATAATGTAAAATATGTGTTGTTTAGATAAATAAAAATTACAAAAAGTGAAAATTCCTCCACTTTCTTTTTTCGTTTTTGACTCATTGTAACAACAACAAAAAAATCTTCCACTTATTTAAATGAGTAAAAACAAATAAATAAATTTTAGAAAAAGTTTTTTATACTAATTAAAAATTAAATTTAACTCGGGATTGATTTGTTATGGTCCTAAAAATAATTCTTATCCCCAGCTTTTCTTTAAGATATATATAATAACAACTTGAAATTTCATTTTATTTTTCTGTGTTCTCTTGTTTCCATTAAAATAAATAAAGGGTTTGTCCATTTGCTTACTTCCTGGCTGATCAATTATTACCTGGTCCAAACTTATCTGGCTCTAATCAATTTTCATGTATCATACAATTGAATATTATTAAGTTTTTCTTGTAAATTAAAAATATCATTTTTTTATGAATACAATATTTTTTTCTCATCCTCTATGAATACGCCAATCAAGCAATTTCTATCTCTAGATGGCACGGGATGAGATAAGCAATTATTCAGATAATGATAAGCCTTAAAAATCTCATGCGTGTTTAATTAATAATTATAGTCTTTTCAATCCAATTGGATAGCATTCAAAATTATTAATATATGGAAAATTATTTACAGAGCAAATTTCAAATGTCAATCTCAGAACGAATTAATGAAAGGGAATATTGGTTGTGGAAGCAAAAGAGTCAAAAAAAAAAAATGATACTACTCTTTCACTTGTGCTTTGCGACATGTAATATAGACAAAAGTGAAAAATCGAATCTTGGAGACCAGAAGTTGAAAGAAGAGGGAATTATACTTCCCATGATACAACATACATCGATCAAAACAAACATCAAAAGGGTCGGAAATAGATGTATCAAGCATTGCTAGGAGTATACAGAATTTTTTATGATACCATTCAATCAATCACAATGAAATTAAAAGTTAAATATATACAGATGTAACGAAGTGTTTGATATTTAATTTGTATATTTGTACAGTTGATTCTGTTTGTTGCGATTTATGTATTTATATCACAGCTAAGCCTATTGGAAAGTCATAGAGGCCTAGTGAATAGGGCACCGAGCACTTAGTGGGTCTGTGATGATGAATGGCTCAAGGACTATAATGGGTTGGCAAGAACAATAAAGAAAAGGTTATGTAAAACATAACATAATATACGAACAACCTAAAACGTTGGACCAGACAGTGGCATTCTGCAGTTTCTAACGACATTGTTTACCTATATATTTCCGAAATTTATTTATTTATTTATCTATTCCTGACATGCAGAGAGGAGATAACGTACACAAATACTGAAATATCAGTTCTTCTTTCGAGAGCCAATCGGGTTTTTTTATTTTTTATTTAACGTTAGCTATCTCTAGTTTTTCAAAGTAACAAATGAGAAACACTAACAAAATAATTCAATTATAGATTTTAAAATCTAGTGTGGTAAAAAATAGTTTCTGATTCCTCACTACCTTTCCTTGCTAAAAACAACCTTTTCACTCATATCTTCAGATGAAAAATGTGAACGATATATTCTTCAAAGTTCAAACTAATAACACCAATTTAATCTCTAAAAATATTTATAATATTAAATAATGTTTTTATTAACATTTTGTTGATCTAAAGGGTTCTGGACATAGATAATTTGAACAAGGTCATAATTCAAATAGAGTATTTTGCACAAACAATTAATAAAAAGACTGAAAAAAATCTAACAATGTTAAAATATAAATAGAGTTTCACATTATTAGACTAAGGAGAGAGAATTTGTGTTTATAAGCACAAACAAAATCTTCATTAATATGAAATATTTTTTAAGTGATAATTAAAAGTAAATTCATGAAAATTTATATTTAAAATAAAAAAGATATCATATCAATGCATCTAGAGATATGTGTGTAAATTCATGATGTTTAACAACTTCATCATAATTATAATATAGTAACAAAAATAATTAAAAATAATGACAACAATTTTTTATAATTAAAATGACGATTATTTTTATCTTTTAATATTTAGACAACTTACTTCAGTTTATTATTAAGTTACTTTTTTGAAGGAATAATCTGTAGCCCGAAAAAAAAAAATAATAAAGTGTATCAAATTTTAAGTTAATTATGTTATTTGTTAACCTTGTGTCCCAAGTGGTAATCACACATACACATATATGGCAAAGGATTGATTAAAATAAATAAATTATATCGATCACATTATAAAATAAAGTTTCTTGTTAACATTTTCGGGAAACATTTTTTCAAACAATAAATAACTCATAGAAATAATTTCAATATAAAAAATTGTAAAATCTTAAAAAATCATACTCACTCTCATACGTTGTGTGTGGAAAATTCTATGTATTAATTAAAAAATAAGTTCATATATTGAGAGCATAAAGAAGGTGAAAGTTTCATTCTGCAAATAATTACTCGAATTTAAAATATAAGATATTATTACGTACCAATATGTTATTGATTTTGCGTGAAATTAAATTTAGATTTTTTAGCAGAAATTTAAGTTCAAATCTTTGGAATAAAAATATATGATCGAGGTCTACGTACTAAGGGCAACTGGCTAGCCAAATTTTTTCTTCTTCAGAAATTAGTAATTATAAAATTGATGAATATTTCGCATGAAAACAAGATGAGTCTATAAATATTATTACTTAATTTAAATTTTAATATGATTTAATTTTGAGATTTTTTAAAAGTTTTTGATGCACTATCTAATTAAAGATATATTTTATTTTAAACGATATTGTAATCTTAAATAATTCTATTATAAATATTAAATTTTGATAGATTATATTAATATAAAAAGTAAAATTGTGTTGTCCAATAGGAATAGCATTATCTACCGAAAATAATTGTACGGAAGTTGATTAATTTGTAGTGGTCCATACACAACTTGTTCATGTGATACGAATACATGATGTCAAAGATCCGACAAGAGCATACGGTTCCCTTTTTCTAAGTTAGTTTAGTTTATTTTATTAAATGGTCCTCCACCAATCAATCTTTGATCGTCATGATCTAAACTTCAAAGTTTACCATACATAATTTAAATATTCAATAACATCAAAGTCTTGCCTTAAATTTAAATTCATATTCGTCTTGATCGAACAATTCATACATAATTTAATAACTCTCCGTCCTTGGTAGGAAAAGGACTTTATTTTTCTTAATCGAATCCAATCGTTCATAAACTCATCTCAGATGAAATAGATTAGGTATCTTTCAAATCTGTATATATGAAACTATAGGAACACACTGTCATTTGACAATTTTTATTTATCTAATCGCTCTATCATGGTTACACTTATTTTTAAGTTCATAAGTTGGCTTTTGGAACTCAGAATCATTAGCCTCCGATTAATGATCTTATTTTATTTGTATACAAATTTCAATTCTCTTTTTCGTTTTTGATAAAAAAAAAAAGGACTTTACTTTTATTCTAGTTGTACTTTCTTCAGTTTTTTTATTATTTTTAATTCAACTAGTAAAATATTGTGTAATTGGATAGTCACGTTAGTTTATTTCTATTTTTATTATTATCATTATTATTATATTTATAAAAGAGTCACGGTAGTTTTTAATCATATTTTAAACTTATTATATATATATATATATATATATGTATATATATTTATATTTATATTATATATAAAGGAACTATTTGGTTTCCACAGTTTTTTTATTAGATATTTATACTTTTTTATTATATTTTTTTATTATCATATTTTTTATGGATAAAATAGAGAAAAATATGTATAAAAAATTAATTATTCATTCTATCAATAATAACTATCTTTTGATATCTAATTTTATTTATTATTTTTTTTATTTTTTTATAATTATATATTATATCACTTAATTTATATTTTGTAACCTTTATTATTTTATTTTTTTTATTAATTTAAATAAAATACATAAAAACACAAAATACTTCAATCACATTGATCTATATATAAAGAGGATAAACATTTTAATAATTATCTTTCGTTTCTATTGTTTTAGACACTTTATTTTTCATATTCTCTTTCTCTCCCAATAAATGCACAAATCATTTATATGCAATTTTATTTTTTCTATTCTTTTTAAAAAAAATACTTTTTTTAAAATAAATGTATAGAGATGTGAAGTGTCTCATTTTCACTTGAATTTTTTTTTTGGTATAATTAAATGGGATATATATTTGTACCAAACTATATTAGGAGCGCTTCTTTTTTTTTTTTTTTTTTTAACTTGGCAATGCTATATAATTCATTTTCAAATAAATGAAATGTACAAAAAAAATAATGTCTAAAATGCTTACATTATCATTTTTTTTTTTACTTATACCGATTAAAAGTTCAAACTAAAAATCACGAACGAAAAATATAATTGAAAAGTTGGCAGGTAAAGGAATTTGATTATAAGGAGGTGGACTATGAAATATGTATAAACCTTCTATTCTAGAACACTCATGCTTAGTGCATCTACAATTTGATTTTCTTCTCTAAAATTGTGATTGCAAAACACATCTAAATAATCATCTGCTAAACTCATAATTTTATTAACCAGAACATAATATAGACGATGCCTAAAACAATCATCGTTCAAAAGTTAGACAGGTAAAGTAGAGTAGTTAGACTCCACTAATATATTTATCATTCTTCCTCTATCATATATCACCTTATCAGAGATATAAATGATTAAAACTTAAAAGGATTACATTGAATATAAAGAAAAATAAAGGTATTTGCACTCTAAGAACGTGTTATAGATATACTCCCATTTTTCTGCTCTTCAATCAGTGTTATCCCACACCTGATTTTAATCAGAACCATCACCTTTATACATGAACAGATAAAAAAATATAAAAGAAAAAGTCCGGTAGAGTATATATATTATATATTATAAATTTCACTTTATCTAATTTTAGTTTTTGTTACTTTATGGTGATTAATATGTCTTTTCTCATTTTATCTTTGTTTCTGCAATGCATGAGTTAGACTATGGTGCACTTTTTTTTTTATCCATCCTAATCAACTTAGGTACCAAATGATTTACACTACCATTAGCTTAACTAATGAACTAGACCCTTGAGTTATTATGTGCATCTAGTAATAATGATTTGTAACAAAACTTTTCTTGAATGGACTTGGAGTGCATTTGACAATAAAAATGATGCGGACGGACTCGTTGTGCAGGGATTTTGAACTCCATGATATAGGCCCAAAAGAGAGCCCGAAGACAAAACCCAACTAATTTTGTTTGATATGCCAACCTGACCTGCTTGGTTCAAGTGAAGTCAGAAGAATCTTTTTTCTACACAAGCAAGTTTGTTCTCGAACCTACACCATATACAACAACATAAACGCTTTTATAATTAATATTATCAATGTTATCACTATAGTGTAGAGCATACCAATTATAAATGGCTCCAAACCCTGCTTAAATTAAGCATTATCCTCCAATCTTGTAATCAAATTAGACAAGGAAGAGTGAAGATATGGGTTCAGAAGTGACTCTAAAGCTTCCTGTGATCGACTTTACAAACCTCAAATTGGAAGCCAACAATCCTAATTGGGAGGAAGTAAAATCCCAAGTCCACAAGGCACTAGTAGAGTATGGTTGCTTTGAAGCAATTTTTGATAAAGTTCCTTTAGACCTTCGCAAAGCCATATTCGGTGCACTACAAGACCTCTTTGATCTCCCTCTTCAAACAAAGATACTCAATGTGTCTAAGAAGCCCTATCATGGTTATGTTGGCCAATATCCTATGGTCCCACTTTTTGAAAGCATGGGCATTGATGATGCAACTATCTATGACAAAGTAGAAAGCATGACCAACATCTTGTGGCCTGATGGAAACCAAAGTTTTAGGCACGTACCCTTAAAATTTTCAAATGCATACATAGTTATATTAACTATTCTTTTTCTTTATAATTTTGGAACTTGTATTTCCTTTGCCTCTTTCTTAATTTGTCTTTTCATTTAGCAGCAAAACTATTCAATCCTTCTCTGAGCAGCTATCAGAGTTGGATCAGATCATCAGGAAGATGGTTTTGGAGAGCTTGGGAATTGAAAAGTACTTAGAGGAGCACATGAACTCAACCAATTATCTTCTCCGGGTTATGAAATACAAAGGCCCTCAAACCAGTGACACAAAGCTAGGCCTCAGCGCACACACAGACAAGAACATTGTGACCATATTGTATCAAAATCAAGTGGAGGGTTTAGAGGTGTTGACCAAAGATGGAAAATGGATAAGCTACAAGCCTTCTCCTGAGAGTTTTGTTGTCATGATTGGTGACTCTTTACATGTAAACTTCATTCATAACTTTTCATTCAAACAACATAGATCATTCCAAACCTAAAAAATTAACATAGTAAACTATACTGAAAATTCTGAAATTTCGCGAGATTGTAGATAAACTCCTTACTTACTAATAATTTTTTGAAAAACATGACATTTGCTGACTAATATCTCTTGGACATTATATTAACCCTTAATTGTATGAAAAATATTGCAATGACCCTTTATAAGAGATGTCGCTATAAAGGGTGTTATATGCGATCTCACAAAATCTTAAGCAGTGTTAGTGTAATTTATTCAAATTACTACTATTATTGAATGATAGTGAAAAATGATAATTTACATGAATGTTTGCAGGCATGGTCAAATGGGAGGCTGCATTCACCCTTTCACCGAGTGATGATGAGTGGGAATGAAGCAAGATACTCTACAGGGCTTTTCTCTATCCCTAAAGGAGGGAGCATTATAAAAGCACCAGAGGAGTTGGTGGATGAGGAACACCCTCTTCTCTTTAAGCCTTTTGATCATGTTGAGTTCCTCAAATATTATTACACTGAAAAGGGCCAGGCAGATTCATTTGCACTGCGCACTTACTGTGGTGTTTGAGAAGCCATGGTCTGTGTTGTGGTGTGTTCAAATGTTCTGCGCTCAGTTTACCTTGAACTTAATAAAACTGATCCCCTATATGTGTTTGATGTGAATTTCTCCAATTGAAACTTGACAGGCAAAGTGTTCATGATTTGGTGATTTTAGTGATGAAGATTACATAGATCTCATTTTGACACAAAATTAAAACTTATTTGGAGCATTAACTAATTAGATTGGTGTCAGATTATTAGAAGGATGATTAATTTGGGGGTGTAGGGACAAGTACTTCTACAATGGTTTCAAAATTTAAGGACCAATAATTCATTTTAGAGTTAATTTATGATGAAGCGAAGCTTCTTGCACTAAGAAATCAGTTTCCGCTGTACCGGGTGCAAAATGGTTGGATCATACTTCGGAAGAAAATATGAAGTCGAGCATATATGATGGAAGATAATAGTATGAGCACATGATTATCAATCTCGCTTAGTGCATTAGTTTAGTAATCGAAGGGACAAGTATTGCCTATTACCACGTTAATCAGAACTAAATCGAAGGGAAGAAAAGCAATGAGCATGATGAACTTCAATAATTTCTTTTTTTAATTTCAAGGTTCTATTTTATATTGAATGATTAAGAACACATGTTTGAGAAAAATTATGATGTTACATTTCAGTTGCTTTAAAAAAAAAAGTTATATATGTTTGATAAGCAACTTAAACTTAGAAATATTTTCTTTTTCTAAAAAATTATTTATTTTCACATAATTTAATTACAACTATTTTTCAACGATTTTTTTCTCTCTTTAAAGTTCATTTATTATCCCTACAAATAATTATTTATTAAAATAATTTTTTTTAAATTTTTAAATATTAAAAAATAATATTAAAAAATTAACTATTAAATATTCTTATAAACTCAGAACTTGAACTTTAAAATTTAAAAATTAAGAATAACATCAACTAATTGAATAAATATTAATAATTTTTAAATATTTTTAAAAAATATATAGAAATATAAAACATCTTAATTTCACTAATTGATTATAATAATATAATTGATTATTAAAATAATTAATTTTTACTATTTTCTCAAACACACTTTAACATTGATAATTCTTATTTAAAGATGTCTTATCTACCGGCGAATTTTTGTTATGACTAGAGGATGAAAAATTCTATTATTTTTTTAATTAATAAAAAATTTAATTTATATATACTAGTACAAAAAGGGTAATTTACGTCGGTTATTTTAAGCTTTTTACGCTAGGAAAAAGTCCGACATAAATGCGGGAGACGTAAATTTACGTCGGTTGTGATAGCCGATGTAAATTTATGTCAGACATTCACAAGAGCCGACGTAAAAAAGTTGTAAAAAAAAACATAACGCGTGCAAGCAGAACGGGCCGTTCTCCAAGCAGAATGTCCTGTTCTACTTGGAGCACGTCCCGTTCTGCTTGGAGAACGACCCGTTCTGCTTGGAGAACGAGTCATTCTGCTTAAAGATCCACCCAAACGCGAAGAATTTTCTACTTAGTATTAACTAATATATTAACAAACAATAATCTACCCAAACGCGAAAAAGAGGATAATATTAACTACTCAAACGCGCAAACGTACACTCAGATATAATACACTCAAAAGAAATCTTAACTTAGAAGACTCGAATTGCACATACACTCAAAGCTCTCTTGTTTAAATATTGACGCGCGCGTGAAGAAATTTGAAATTTGTAGATATTTTACGTCGGACCTTGTAGGGACCGATGTAAATTGGAAAATCTATGTCAGACACAAGCTATATCCAACATAGATTTTCTTTTTTACGTCAGCCCCTATAAGGTCCGACGTAAAAAAACTTGATTATAATTACAAAAATGTCACCGTAGTTTTTTAACGTTGAATTTTTCTTTGTCCAACGAGAATATAGTGACGTAAATTACCATTTTTTTATTAGTAATAAAAAAATTTAATTTAATACCTCAAATTTTTATCGAAGTTCCGTCACTGCTCCTATTTTATTATACGTCCTTTACAAAATATTTCAGATCCTTCATAAAAACAAAGTTAAATTAGGAGATTTCAAGTATAATTTTTTAATAATAATAATAAAAGTGTAAGTATAATTGTTACTGTACTATATACGAATGATGTTATTAAGTGCAGGTAGTATCTCTTAAAAGGATCCTATGATGGTATAACGCGCGTCAAGGAGGTTATTTAATGTAGTAGTTATCTATAATGTATGAATGAATATTAAGAATGCATTAATTAAAACTTAAAAGCGACATTGGAGTTATTCTGAATGCAATTAAATACTAGACCCACAGAGGTTGATTCGTCTCGATCGTTAAGGATAACAATGTAGACCATACAAACTTAGAGGATAAAGCAGTCATTTCTAATTTGAAATGACATTGACCAAATGATGGATTAATTCATATGATTCTTTAATTCTTTTGGCACCGAATAATACTATGTGATCGTCATATAGATATTCTGCTCCTATGGTGGGATCAGAAAAGAGAAAGGTTCCAGAAGATCATACAATGTACATCCTCCTCGTCCTTACAATGTGTTAGGATATTTTTGATTCCTAACAATGTCACGTTGGACTTCATATGACTATGTGATTTGCATATTTGAATGTTAAATCTGTGTTGAAAAGTTTGATGAAACATCTGCATGTCTTATTAAAACATCTCGATCTTCAACTAAATCATAATGCGAAACTAACTCTAAGACAATCTATAGTTGATGTGATTGGAATCGATTCTAAAATCTTCGCCAACAAACAACCTTAACCCTGGCATTTAATTTGGAATATTTTATGTAACAAATCCTAATTTGGGTTCATTATTAGAAAGAGAAAAATAGTCCTGTGTTATAGTTACTATATACTAGTATGAACTAACTATATAGTTACAAAACATGTCAGTTCAAGTATAACATAGTTCTTCTGAGCTCTTGAAGCATTTTGCCCGTGTTTGAAAATTGAAACACAAAAAGAAGGTTGGGTTTGGTGCAGACGAATCACCAATTATTTGTTTGAAATTGGGATTTAGCTGTACTTTGCTTTTCGCACTTCAGTTATTTTCATGATGGACTCCTTTAAACTACCTTGGGATAAACTAAATCTAGCATCTTCTGTCGTAGGTTCATAGTCCTAAAGCAAACTCTTTTTTCTCAAAATTTCGAGCAAAAGTTTCCTGTATATGCTTTATGCATGTGTGTTCCACGCTTCTGTAACTTACACAAATTATTACATATTATTCCATAATTTTATATCAAAAACACTATTAGATAGGCCTGGGCAAAAATTTCCGGCCGATCCGAAACGGCCAAACCGACGATCAGATCGGGTGAAGCGGATTAATTCTCAGGTATTTCGGATTTTTTCTGAAGCAAATTTCGGGTTCAAACGGGTTTTAACGATCGGATTCGGTGTTAGAATTTTCTCATCCGATGCACCCGAATCCGACCGTTCGTCTTCACCGTTTATTTTCTCCGTCTCTTTTACTTCGTCTTCTTTCTTCTTCTTCTTCACTCCGTCTTCTTTCCTCTTCTTCTTCACTCCGTCTTCTTTCTTCTGCTTCTTTCTTCTTCTTCACAGTGTCTTCTTTCTTCTTCTTCTTCACTCCGTAAACATCCTCTTTTCTTCAACTTATTCCTGCCATGGCTACCGCCGCTGAGAAGCTCCCTGTTCTGGTTGATGAAGGTGGTGATGTGGAGATCTGAAACTCCGTGATTTCCCCCAAATGAAGCAGTAACAGAGACCGGCAAAGAGTGACGAAGGATGGCGGCACGAGACGCTAGAGAAAGCTTCTCAAACCGATAAATCCATCCGATGAACCCGTAACCCGCACGGATTGAACCCGCTAAAACCCAAGTTCTTCGTCGGTCGAAAATGGCTCCTAATTTTTCTTAATCGGTTTCGGATGATTTTAAGAATTTTGGTCCGAAATCGACCGTGGCCGACCGAGGCCTACTATTAGATATAAAGTTTTTTTCCACTTTTATATCTCATTCATATATAATTATACATTAAAACTGAAATAATATATAGTTTTAAAACAAACACAATTATGAATATTTTTTTATACATGCCTACGAATCACTTGATTAATTAATTATTGTTGTTTAATTTGACAAAATACACAAATATATATATATATATATATATATATATATA